ACAGAGGTCGAGCAGGCTAGTGCTATCAACGGGGTCGTTGATACGATGGGCCAAAAGCGTGAGAATACCATTCCGTTGACGCCCTCGTGACCCTTCAACGTCTCCACCTCTTGCGATTCCGACATGCTTGCGCCCTCTCAATACGCTACTTTGGTGTACCCTTTTGTTGCCATCGTGTACTTGGGCTTCTGATTAGCTTGATTGAGTGCTTATTGGGTGAGTTTGCGAGCGGTATGTGTGGTGCTCATCCACTGAATTGCAGTGTCTGCAGTTGCCTTGCGATCCTGCAACATTTTCGAAAGCGCACGAAGTCAAGCTCGGCCACGTCAGTGACGTCGTCGAGGTGATCTTTTGTTGCACCGTATCCCCGTGTCTATCCGGTCCTTTTCGGGTAAGTTTCAGTGTTGAATGAATGGCTATACGCGCGTTGCTTACCATAAGAGCTGTAGTCTCTCCGATTGCCGCGCGCTCTCCTGCGATCCTGCAGGATTATCGCAAACTAACGAAGTCGAGCTCAGCCACGTCGTCGAGGTGACCTTTTGTCTCGCCGTATCCCCGTGTCTATCCGGTTATTTTCCGGTGAGTTCCAGCATTGAACGAATGGCTATACGTGCGTTGCTTACCATAAGAGCTGTAGTCTCTCCGATTGCCGCGCGCTCTCCTGCGATCCTGCAGGATTATCGCAAGTGAACGAAGTCGAGCTCGGCCACGTCGTTGAGGTGACCTTTTGTTGCACGGTATACCCCTCTATCCGGTTCTTTTCCGGTGAGTTCCAGCGTCGAATGAATGGCAGTATGCGTGTTGCTTATTATCAAAATCTTTGAGTTGGAGTTTCTCCCAACGTTGCACGCTATCCGCGATTCCGCAGGGTCGTCGAAGCAAAGCAAGTCCAATGTCATTTATTCACCCGAACTGGTTTGAATACCCAAGGCAGGCATTGCGTCAAATCTGCACTCCCTTCACGGCAACATGCAACCGCGCTCTGTTTGCTTTCACAGGTATCTTCACGTGTCCCACCTGCTTCATCTAGGTCATGTACCGCGACCCTGTCGGTCCTTGGTGGGGATTCGGATTATTTGTTACGCTGGGCTGATCGGTACCACAAAACGGATGCTTCAGACTGAACGGCTTTGCCGGATCAGATTTTGCGGACCTGGGTACTCTATCCGAACAGGGTGGCAGATGTTATTCGGCCAGATGGTGGGCATCATACGGGACAAGAAACGACCAGCATGCTTACACGCTTTCTGACAGTTTCTCTACGATGTTGCCAACTTGCCGCAACCGGTCCTGGAGGGGCAGTTGATGCGGTGGGGTTAAGTTTTGCCCAACCTCGTTCTATTGCAGCCCCTGTTTTCCTTCACGATGATGTTTGAGCTATGCAATATTAGCTTCGCACTGGAGTTCCGTGCTCTGGATTCAGGTCTGGGGAGGAGCCCGTTCACCGCGCAGACACAGTTTTGGAGGTTTCGGGTTCATCGCTAGGCAAGACTGCCGACAAAAACGGACACGGTGATTGGTATTGGACGAGATGAGTGTCGGCAGCGTCTCTCATCGATGCGTCGGATCATGGGAGATTGTTGACGTCCTACGCTTTCCGTGTTCGCAAGGGAACAACAATTTCAAGGTACTCGATGAACTTTGCTCGCCGTCTATCACACTTGCTATGCTGGATGATTACGAATGGATCTTTTTGCTGCTATCGTCATTGTTTCCTGCATGTGTTGAATCAGGCATTAAATTTACCTCATTATAATATGATATGGATAGTTGACGTAACCCATACATGTACCATAATGTCAAACAAGTATTATGTATTTCCAAGTCATTCGACAAGCCGCTAAGTGTTAACCTTCAACGTACAAAGTGCGACAATGCCTGGAGGAATCCCTCGCTCTTTCCTACGCTCAAGGGCTCGCGAACGAAGTGGCAAGAATATTGTCGAGGGGCCTCGCGTGCCCAGAAGAGTTCAAAGAGCCGACCGTTGTCCCGCCCCTAAAGTGATTAGGTGCGAGACGCGTAGAATGCCTGCGGGAAACACGAATGTGGTCTATAGATAGCCACTCATAATTACTATAGAGTACAACTTGCGTGACTACAATCATAGTAGCCGATCCTTAGATATGCTAGTTTCTTTCCCAGTACTCAGAACTGACCCATATTAGTATTTAAATATTTTTTGGTAGTGTAATAGTTTTGTTTATGTACACATTTGACTGTCTACTACCCTATCATGATCACATAGCATGGATTAGACGGTCAGAGTAGTCTAAATACGCCTCAGAAAAGAGAGGAAATATGTGGGCACTCAGACATGTTGCTATGGTATCACAGGGCTGTGTTGCAAGGCTGTGCTGATTAGTAAGCTTGCTGCGGATATTAGTAAGCATGCTGCGGCGCAGCAGGCGCTTAGTAAGCCTGTGATCTGATTGGATGGAGTGGTATTGGCCAAATTAGCAT